TGGTGAAAATGTGAAATTAGTATTAGTTTAAAAAAGATAAACGAGAGCATAGTGTCATCAAAACTTGGTAAAAACTTGATTTCTAGAAAATGTCTGTTGAAATCTGGATAATGTCGCACACACAATAATCGTCTTGCAAAACAAGCATGTCAGAAGCAAGCTTTTAACTGGATTTGGGATTAACATTAACTTTTCATGAAGAAAAATATCTAAGAAAGCGATTTCAAGTCTGGCTCTAAATTGACCAAGTCAGCTCTTTTGGGGCTCCAGTGCACATAAATTGTCTGCGGCTTGTTAGATGTGATGACGCAACTGTTCTCAGCGATCTTCCAAATCTTACACATTTTACACATTCGCTGGCAATTGGTGATAAAGTTAGGCTTCTGATGGATTCAGGTAACACAGTCAGGGTTAAGATTATGGTTGACCCGTACCTTGTTACCGATAGCCAGCAAATGTGAATAAAACATAAAAACCTGCAGATCTGGAAGACTGCCCAGGTCTTTTATATATATAATATATATATATACATATATATGTATATATGTATATATATATATAGGTGTAGATCTGTCCTACCAGAAGATCAGGGATGTGGCTGAAAGACAGCATTACAAAGCTGCAGAAAGAATCAGAAGCCCAGAGGAGGGGGCAAAGGAGGTGAGCGGGTAGGTGCAGAAAGTGGAAAGCAGACGACAGAACATTGCTAGAGAGCAGGAAAGAAGGTGAAAGGAGACAATTTTAGAGAAGAAAATTTTTCGGTTGCTACTCGGATTTGAACCCGGGACTTTTGAATGAGAGGCGAACACCTTTGCCTCTAAGCCACGAGAGCCCCCCATTGCTCGCAGGTTTTGAGCCAGGTATCTTTTGACTGAGAGACAAACACTGTACCTCTAGACCAGGAGAGCCCTCAATAAACAAATATACTGTTGTCTTTTTTTAGTTCTTTTGTGCGCTCAGTGATGGTCTCATGGAGACCGACTTCTCTTTTTATCTTTGTCAACAGAATCTCAAAGTGTTCCCATCTTGGATTTGCCGCCATCTCTCATGGAAAAGCAGAGAATATTGCAGTCCGTTCGGCAGTTTGACCACGAAGGATACACTATCGGTGACCACATTCTCGTGAGAGGACGCGTCACACAGTTCATGGGGAAAACAGAACTTGACGTGCTTGACCATCGTATCCTTTTGTCGTTGATGTTGTGGGTAAAGATTGGCTTTGCATAATGTTATTTGTGTGTACCAGTGTACATGAACATTGTAATGACCTTTCAAGTACTCTGATAAAATGAGAGCCCTCTTATTTACTTTAACACGTTGAAAAACCTCGATCAGATTTACATAAAATCTGATTTTTTTCATTAAATTCGTGTTCCTCAGTCTTATGCAACTTATTGCAAATGACTTGGAAATACACAGGTTTATTTGCAATATTTTCACAGACTTCTTTCGTCCATCCATCTGTCTGTTCATGCATCTCTTTGTTTTGTTTTTTCATAAAAGAAGTGACTTTTATTGTGCTGGTGTGCTTCTCTTTATTTAAAAAAATATATAGGCAGCAATCATTGTTCACAATGCTTTCATGGAAAAAAAGATGAACTTGAGTGGGTGTGTGTACTTTCATCTCATGTAAAGTACCGGCCCCTAGCTTCGTCGGTGTCATGCTGGCTGTGTCACGGAAATCTCAAGGTTTTGTTCCCCAGTGGATCCTCCGTTATTGAGCTCGTGCAGTTTTTCTTTGACTTGACCTTCCAGGGAAGATTGATGACCCAAACTACGAGTGTGAGCGCATCCTCAGTCTGCCAGCACTGTACAGGCACTATAACAAACCGGCCGTTCCGCCAAAGAAAGTTCTGCAAGAACTCTGCTGTTCACCGACGGATGGAGACAATACATCGGTTAGTTTTGTCTCTGGTGCATACAATACTGTTAGCTCTTTCATTGTCTGGTCTGCTCATATGATTGAATGTTTTTACTCTGTCATTTTGCGAGGCCGAATTATTTGACTGAATGGTTGATAAATTCTCTCATTTTGAATGATTTAACACTCCCTTTGTCATGCTCACTCAGCTGATTGAATGATTTAACTATCTCATTTGTAATGGTTTAACCATCTCATTGCTAGGCCAAAATATTTGACTGAATGGTTGACAAACTCTCTCATTTTCCATGATTAAACACTCCCATTGTCATGCTCACTCAGTTGATTGAATGATTTAACACTGCCAGACTGACTCCTTTTATGATCGGATGATTTAACTCTTTCTCTGCCAGACCCTCTCAGTTGATTGAATGATTGAACTCTTTCATTGACAGGCCCCCTTATTTAACTGAACAGTTCAAAGGGCTTGCAATGAGAGAGTTAAGTATTGATAGACAATAATCTATTTGTGTGTCGTTCTGCTGGTATGCTAGATGAAAAAATCTCACAGTCTTCTGGTACTTTTCATGTCTTTATTCTAATTAAAGTTGATAATTTCGTTGCGCTGCAAAGGAAAATAAATCAAGTACATACAATTTGCTGGTTTCTCATTGTTTGCATTGTTTCCATTAAGCTTGAAGTACATCTTCTTCTTACAGGGTATTCGAGCTGCCATCGTCCATCACCTCCAGAGTTGTCCACCTTCGTTCCACGTCTTCAACATGTCTGATGTTCTCTCCTGGCCTGCGGTTAGAACTGCCTTGACCTTCATACAGGTAATATTCTATGCCTACGATTTTCTTCTTTTCTCGTTTCATTAAAAAAAGTTGTTTTTTCCTCTTCATCTGCATTCCCCAACCGGCACCTGTGGTATTGCTGCAGTTATGTGCTTCGCAGTTGCATGCAGGAGACCAGAGTTCAATCCCCGAATGGGGAACATTTTTTAAAAAAGTATCTCGGTCTTTCTGCTGGGATGTTGAATCCCTCTTGGCCTGGGTTGGCCCTGACAGGCAGTGTCGGAAACCTGCTTCTTAAATTATCTAGATTCTGTCTATGGGAGGAAACATCTACATATCGACTGCATTTCCCAGCTAGATCACATGGGTAGTAGGTACAATGTTAGTTCTGTTAGTATCATACTTGGACGTCTGTGGTTTGACTGTGTTATACTAGTAAAGGACACAGAGCATGCTGTAGAGCATTGATGTGCGCGAAATAAATCTATTATTTTGAATATTATTATTGTTATGATTATTATGATTATTATTATCCTTACTATAATTTAAAAAAAATTATAATTGTAAAAATTTTAAAACATTATTATTTTTATTATTATTATTATTATTATTATTATTATTATTATTATTATCAACAGGGCATTCTTGAACTTTGAAAAATCGGAGAGCTTAGTTCATTTGTATCGAAGGTGGAAGATAAGTTTGCGGTCCAACCACTTAAATTTTTGTCTTGTTTTCTTTTTCTTCTCTATGCATGTACCAGATTGGGCAGAGCGGGTGGTTAGAAGACGGCATTATTTTGTCTGTCTGTCTGTCTGTCTGCCTGCCTGTCTGCCTGTCTGTCTGTCTGTCTGTCTGTCTGTCTGTCTGTCTGTCTGTCTGTCTGTCTGTCTGTCTGTCTCCCTTCATTTATTGACCATAATTGTGTCGATGTGCTTCTCTTTACAAAAATCTAGATTGAACAGTGTGTTTAGCTCAGTTGGTGTCATGCTGGGCTATTGTGCAGATGGCTTTGGTTCGGATCCCAATAGTGGGGCATGCTCGAACTCAGGTTGTTTAGGGAGTTTTTGAGGCTCTCAAGCATACTTAGGTTATACCAAAGAGGGACATTGAATTAGGTAGTCGCACCTCTTAAACAACCTTTCAGTGTTGGGAGCAGGTGGTTGGAGAGCACCAATAGCAGATTCCATATTTTTCCTTCCCGTCTGTTGTTTCCTTTCATCTCTCCTAATTATTTTTTCATGCACTAAATAACCATCATCATTAGCAGACTTTTTGCTGTTGAAGCTAGAGAGGTGAGCAGAGTAAGCCTGATTCCCTGTATGGACTTCTCTGTTGACATCCTCTCCTTGGTGCTCATATGACCTTATGCAATTACGAACGCCCTAAAAACTCGACTAAAACTAAAAAACTAAAAATAACCATAATTGTATGGATGTGCTTCTCTTTACCCAAACAGATTATCAGTGATGAAAGGGTTGTTAGAATTCTGCAATTTCCAATTTTTTTTTTTTATCGGTGGTGGTGATCAAAAGCTCCCTTTGAGCAACAGACTATTATGTATAGGAGTTTCATACTGGAACATAGTGTTCCTTGCGTTCCGGCAGTCAAATACTATTTCGAGTTTTCTCTTAATTATTTAAAAATATGCAAAAGAAAAACGTGGGTTGCTACTTTTTGGCATTTTGAGAAAAACTAGGATTAAACTTTTAAAAGGGGGCTCTCGTGGTATAGAGGCTAGAGGAAGGGTGTTCGCGTCTGGTTCAATAGGTCCTGGGTTCGAAACCTGATAGTGACGGAGAATTCTTTCTCTAAAATTTTCTCCTTTCACCTCCTTTCCTGCTCTCTAACCGTGTTCTGTCTTCTTCTTTCGTCTCCACTTTCTGATATTGGGCAACACACCACATTTTGGCACTGGACTTATTGATGGGCCAGAGGAGGTGCGTATACACTTTCTAACCCATGCTACAACTCAAATTACCCGGAATGGGACATCCCATGTTTTTCCCTTTCACCCTTCCAGACCACTGTTTCTTTATTTTTCGGCTGAAACACGGGTTGAATATTTTGTTCTTTGTGTTAAATTTGCTCTGTCTCTCTCTTCTAATTTATCTCTGTTTCTTTATCTTCCTTTTTCGCTCTCCCATAAACACATGCTGTTCTTGTCTCTCTTTCCTGATAAGAAGAGAATGTTGAAATGAATTCAGCTTGTTTTTTTTTTCTTTTTCTTTTTTTGAAATGTTGTTTTTGCAACTGTTTTGTTTTATAATTTATCCAGTTTTGAAACCCGGTTGAAGCATTTTGTCTGAAACTGCAGCTTGTGGAAAGTGAAAATAGACACGGAAAACACACTATTTATTATGAAATGTCATATATTATGTATTGCAACATGCCACGGCCAACTTATTTTCCTTTTACGAGAAAATAAAAGAAAGAATGAGGTAAAGAGGGATTTTGGAGGGGGGGTGGGGGGGGGGGGGGGGGGGATTTTAGTTCATTCTTTTGAAATGATGCGTCTAATATTATCAGACATGTTCACTGTTGTCAAACTATGAAACGTCATTTAGGAGATGCTTTTTAAATGCCAGAGTTTAAAAACAAATTTTGTCAGAATGAGAAAAAAAATTACATAACAAATGAGTAACAAATGAGTTAACAAATATAGATTATATTATACATAGCTATCTCTAGATAGTAGCAAGCTTTTCTCTCCTAGTGAGGACAGAGGAAAAAGGTGTTATTGTCCCTCCGGTCCGGACTGATTGGAACAGACACCAAAAAGTATAAAGACGATAGCTAAACGCTGACCATGAAACTCTAAATTCCTTTTGATATATTTTGCCAATGTTTTTACGTCAGTCATCTTGTCCACGGTGACCTCCTATTGTCAAGGAGAAATGTGGTCATCTTAGTAAGGTAGTAGTTATCTTACTCAGCCAGAGTTATGTATCCCTTTCTGAGGAATGATATGTCACCTTGACGGGGATGATGTATCACCTTGACGGGGATGATGTATCACCTTGATGGGGATGATGTATCACCTTGATGGGGATGATGTATCACCTTGATGGGGATGATGTATCACCTTGATGGGGATGATGTATCACCTTGATGGGGATGATGTATCACCTTGATGAGGATGATGTATCACCTTGACGAGGATTAAGTATCATCTTGTGGGGGCAACGATGTACCATCTTCTGCTGGTGATGAGCTATCCCCTTGAGGCAACTGTGAGGCACCGCCTTGTTTTGGTGAGGACGTATCTCCTTGTACTTCTGATGGTATACCACCTTGTGTTGATGATGGTGAGGTATCCTCTTGAGGCGGGGGTGAGATATCACCTTGTCCTAGTGATGGCGTGTCGCCCTGTTCTCGTGCTTGTGATGGCGTATCACCTTGTGACTGTGGTGACGCATCACCTTGTGATGGTGATGTCGATGTGTCGCCTTGAGCTGGTGAAGAACTTGTGTTCTGTGAAGGGCTTTGAGTTTCAGTGCCCTCTTCAGAAGCTTCCGTAGTTTTGTTCTCCGCTGCTTCACCTACGCTAGAGTTTTCTCCCTGTCCATGTTCTTTCACTCCCGCACCCTTTGCTTCTTGTCTCGACACTTCTGCCGATGAAAATGGTGTTTGAGGAAGTTCTTCTGAAGCCAGCGCTGTCGCCAGGTCGAGATCAGCGCCCTCTCCCGCAGGTGGCATCAGCTCGACGGGGTAAGGCACCCCTTCCTGCGTCCGCTCCGCCGGGTTTCCTACCGGTGTCGAGAGGGCTCTTTGGGCGTCTTCCGGGGTCCAGTCGACGTCTGTCGTCGAGTCGAGATTGACCGTCATGTAGTAAGGCAGGGACATGGTGCGGGCCTCACTAGGGGAGTAGAGCGGCTCGTAGCGCAGCATGCTCCGGGCTTTGTTCCCACTGAAGTAGAGGTCCGTGTTGATGTACTCGAGGCTGTACGACTGGGTGGGTAGGCTGAACCGCACTAGCGGGGACAGCGCCTTAACCAGCATTTCCGTGGCCACCACGGCCCCGTGGACCAGCGGATAGGAGAGGTAGCCGTCGGAGAGGCGGTAGCCGCGCGCCTCCAGGTAGGGCCGCATGAAGTTGAAGGAGTTCTGCACGGGCGTGTTGTCTGGCACGTAGAAGATCTCGCCCGTGAGCATCGGGTCCTCTCGCATGGCCAGGTCGCCGCACACGAAGGCCCAGGCGGTGTTGCCGGCGTACGCTTGCTGGAACATGGCCGTCCCGTCGCCCACCTGTCCACGCAAAAGGGAGAATGTTTCTAAGTAAATAAATAAATAAATGAATAGACGAATACATAAACAGATAGATAAAGAAAGAAAGAAAGAAAGAAAAAAAGAGAAAATAAATGAATAAAAATGCCCCCCCCCCCCAAAAAAAAATAAAAAAAATTGATAGCAAAAAATAACCAAACAAACTGGTGTTAGTCCCAAATGAAACGGAAATTCTACGGAACACTGCTATGAATCTTAATCATTCCTGGGTCCAAGGGAAGATTTTTTTTTCAATTGTCATGCCAGCTGCTAAGCCAAAATTAAGCCCCCAAAAATGGGAACGTGGAGTTTTCACGTCATTACGTCGATGTGTTTCTCTATGCTCAAACAAACAAACGAACAAATGCCGTTTTCTCTGGTAAGGCGGCTTGTCTCTCCGTCGTCACACGCAGTTGACTTGAGCTGGATTCTCGTGATGGCACTTTTTTTTCCTTTTTTTGGTGGAAAATCGAGTGTCTCCCTTTGTCTGCTGGGCTATTGCACGTCTCTTAGGCAGGGTCGAAGCAGTTTGTCTCCTGACTGATCCAAAGTGTTGATGGGGGGTGTAAGAGATCTACATGTGCAATTGATGAAACAAAGCCTTGCTGTGAACTAACATAATACAACCAGCTTGTGTCACGCGCACTTATAAAATAGACCAACAAACAGACAAACAAAATAAACAACAACAAAAAATGGGGGTGGTTAGAGGGTGCTACTGGTACGTCCTACTTCTTGACTTTTCCTCTCTTGTTTCTGTTTGTTTGTTTAATTTTTCCCAGCACTAAATGACCATTATTGTGTCGATGTGTGTACTTCTTTTTACTTGAACTTGAACAAATTAAAAAAAAAAACCTTTACCAAAGAAACAGACAAAGAAACAAACAAGCAAATAACAATAAATTAAACAAACGAACATACCTGTGACAATACTCCCTTCCTCTTCTTGGCGTTCTTGAGGCCGCTGGTGACGTAGAAAGGGTCAAGCTCCCCGTACATGACGTTTGCACGGAGGGAGATCACCTGGAGCTTCCCACCTGTGTGACGTAGGAGGAGTATGGACATAGTTGTTAGGGTTTGTGGCTTTTTTTTTTGGGGGGGGG